CCTAGGGATGTTTATGGATACTCGAGCAATCAGTTAACTGTTTGAGGTGCCAGTATTTAAATATGGAAATCACTAATAGGGTATTCCTTACATTTTATCACAGAAAGACAAACAATTCAGTGAAACACTGATTTTGTGTTTTAACAATACAGTAAAATGTGAATAGTTCATTCCTATGTGCAATTAAGTACATATTAAAGTAATAAGCCATGAGAAGCCACATGTTACGGTGATTTTATCATGAGTAATCTCAGTAACGCACAGCCTCAAATGTCTTTTTTAAATTGCAGACAACAATAAATGTCAAAATACACAAATATACCAAATTAATATTAATGCTAATTAAGATAAACAATTATTTCATCAAGAAATGTAATTCCTTTAGACTATGTTTCCAAAAAAACATAAACTGCTGAAATGTTCAGTCACCCATCATTGTATACTGCAGTCAAGACTAATTAATAATAATTCATTCAGTTAGCACCTCTATATGATTTTCAAGTATGCGCTATTTGGGTGTCCAGAATTTCTTAACTTCTTTAGTGCATTATATAGAAAGGAAGGAGCAGAGATTCAGCCTAGGTTTAACACTACTTAAGGGAGAACTAAGACATGGACATTTGGAGCGTGTTAAGACGTCTTACAGTAATTTATATAGTAAGTACTTAATTCATAGTGATGTCAATGGTGGAGATGGTGTGTGTTTGAGTGTGCATATATCAAGTATTTTACAACAGCTTTAATTGTGGTTCAGCCAATCAGATGTTAAGACTGGACCTATCCATTTTATAAATTACACTTTGCTACTATGAAGCATGAGTGCCTAATGTGAGCATGTTGCCATGAATGCCAAAAAAACCCTCAGCCATCAGCCCATTTCGGTGCATTCCTTAACGAAAATTTAGCGTCTTCACTTCCGACAGAATTTCTCCATTTGTTTCAATGAATGAGAAATAATATCTAAATAATTGGGACTTCTTAATATTCGTTATACTTACAAAATAATAAACACAGCAACCAAAGGTTCTTGATGGAGCTGTGAGGTTCTACATGCAACCATCAAATTCTTTCTGAAGATTCATAGTGAAAACCTCCTTCGCAAAGCCAAGAACAAAACCTCAAAAACCATAATAAAAGACTTTTACTTGATACTTTTTTTAAAGACTGTATTACTATCACTCTGTATTACTACACTGATTACTAAGTCTGTATCTTATTAATCACTCCTACAATATTTTTGCAATGTCAAATTTAATCAAAACGGACGTAAACATCTATTTTATAAATTACACTTTGCTATGGCGAAGCATGAGATCCTAACATGAGTGCGTTGCCAAGAACACATTGATCAGGATGTGACTAAGAAGGCGGAGAGTGCGCGGTCGGCTCTGCCATGGCTTTATTGCTAACTATGCTAACTACTCTACCTGATGTTAGCTAGATCCAGACACAGTGAAAATGTATTTCTCTGACAAACTAACATGTTGGCACACTGTCTACTGAGGTGAAAATAAGACAACAAGTCCTCATTAGCATCCCATGCTGTACTGGTTAGCTTAGTTAGCTCATTAGCTAATTAGCTCATCTGAAGAGGCAGCCCACGTCACCCAAAACAAAAACCTACTGATTTTCCTCAGCTATTTTTGAATGATAAAACATGTTCTTATATGTAGTTCTTTGCATGCTGCTCATTATTGTGTAACACCAGTGCTGTCACCTAAACAGGTACGTCTACAGCCCTTTAATGTCAGCAAAAGTCCTTTTTTTTGTTTCTTCCTTCACTTAGGTAAACAAATCATCCATTCATTGACCCTTACAGATACTCGAACATCAAAATTAAGCGTAATGCACATGCACCCTAATCTCTACAATACCTAATCAGCAACAGACTCTAAACTGCAAATTCTACTACATTAATGCACTTTGTAATGTCTCTGATACGCAGGCAGTACAACTATGGTCTACCGGAGCTGATTATAATACACAAGGTTTGCGGTTTGGAATAATGGTGCTGCACCCAAGTAACACTGCCAAACGCAGAGTGAGCTCTTGTGTGGATCTGGCAGTGGCCCCAGTGAGAGAAGATGAGCTTTTGCTGATCAGACAAAACACAGGCAGCTTGTGTCGCACACAGACTTGTAACATGCAGGACTACAAGGACGCCTTCTAACCACAAATACACAATTACATAATCACGCAAATAAACCCTCGTAAAGGACTGGGTGTGTGTGTACTTCACACTGGCTAGTTCGTGCTGCCACCTGCAGATAAAAACATGTTCACCTTGGCAGACATAGCCGGAGGGTAACCTTGGCAGTCTTGTCTGTTTTTGGTGAGAACTGGCCATGTCATCCTAGCATATTGACTTATATAGAGAAGCATGCCAGACTTCGGCCCAGGCCTTTTCACAATGACAAAAATATAAGCAACTGCTGGCCACTGACTACACAACATGATACTAATATCAATAGCATCCAACAATACCAGGGCAACTCTGGCATAATGCTAACTGGTTTGGGATAAGTTTCTATACTTATTGGCTATGTCACCCTTGTAAACTACAAAAATAAAGATAAAATACCAAGATATTTTCTGTATAATTAACTTGATAAGATGTAAACAAAGTCACTCAGCATCATTTGATGTGAAATGCTCAGTTTTTGAGAAACTCATCAAGTCAAATGTTCACAGTGGTAGGAACCAGATATCTGACGCATTTAATGCCTCTAAAATCTACTTCACAAAAAGTTGTTACCAGCAGTGGTTACAAATATGATAGTTTTGAGACATGATTTTGACTTACATTGTTTTTTTTTTTTAAATCTGTTTATGATGGCGAGGTACATACACAGCGTTGTTAGGCAACACAGTACATATATTTTCAGATTTATCACTATTTTACTATCATCAGCATTACATATTAAAACTCAAACATGTTCAGAGTAACTGGTCATTTTGGATAGTAAATAGAACGGCTATTTTTGTGTTAATGACATTGTGGCCACCACTGTAAAGTATGAAATTACGGCCACCACTGTAAAGAAAACTTTTCTCTGTAATTGACAATTTCACATCAAACAACTCTGAATTACTTTGTTTATATACCAACAATTTACTGAAATTTTGAACTAATCTCAAATCTTAAAGGGGAATTCCACTGATTTTTCAGAATTGTTGTATAATTGTTGTGAACTGCTCCATTCTAGATAAACCTACTAGATCAGAGTTACTCACAGTGGTGGTGAGAGAAACCAGACGTCCACCTCTAAAAATGCTTCCTCACAAAAAGTTGACATTAAATAGTTATGAATATGCTGCCTGATGTCTAAGACATTGTTTAATCTTTGTTTTGAGAGAAGGTATTGGCCTAAAAATGGTGGTTTTGGATGGGAAATAAGATAAGGCTACATCTATGTGGTAGACAGTGCAACCCCTGGTTCCTATCACTGCCTCTGTGAGGAAGTCTTTAAGTTTCTTTTAGTTTCTCCTGAACAGGGAATTTTACATCAAAGTACTCTGAATGACTTTGTTTATATCTCAACCACAGAATTATGCAGACATTTTGAACAAATGGTGAAATCCCCCTTTCTTTTTAAGTGTAGCTGAACCTGTGCCTGTTCAAATCTGCTATTCCAAACACCTATACTTAGATTTTCTAGAGGATGAAGATGAATAAGGAATTAAACAACAATAACTGAAATAAAAATACTGCACAACTTGTATGTCTCTTTAATTTTAATCTATTAACTTAACTTACAAGGACTAGCACAAAACCATTAGCCTAGCAGCTAACTAACTCCATAGCAACAATGGAAGTTCACTTTAAACAGTGTTGATGAGATGAAGAAAACACATTTAGACAGGTTTTCCTTACCTAAGATGCAACACGCTTATCTGAGTGAAATCTAACCCTTGAGAGATCATCCTGAGGAAATAACGTAAGTTGGTTTATGCAGTCAGGCTCAGGTAACAGCTCAGAAGGCCCACTGAGCCATGAGCGGTGGCAGGGAAAGTTAATGTCAACTGTGAGTGCCCGAGCTTAAACGAACACTGCTTATACAACCTGCATTAGAATGTTCACTAAAGCACCAAACAAAAACATGGCCAAGACCAAAGTTACTGGCGTAACTTTGTTTTGAAAAGTGCTGGGACAAGAATCAGGGCCAGGTGGAAGAAGTATGTGCACGTTACATGAGCTATGCTGTCTAAGCTAGATGTTTTGCATTCTGTCACATTAAGCTTCAATTGTAACGTAGCCAAAAGATAAATAAGAACTTCTTCTGTATTATGCTGAAAATGTAACCTGTTACTAAGTACTATTCTTGTTTATCAGTGTACTGTGTAACCGACAGAGCAGTATATGTCAGTTTAAAGGGCCCATATCATGGAACGGTCTTCACTTTTTTAAATAAAAGACATTGCAGTGCATAAATACTGGCACACCCCATACAGTCCACATATGGAAATTAAGCTGAAAAAACAGCCTATTTTTGTGTGATGTCACAAAAACCAAAACATTTATATTCATTTTCATCCTGAAGCCCCACTCAATGGCACTAAAGTTATAAGGAGTGTTTCAGCTTTGCTTTTTGAGTGAGGCGGCCAATCAGAACAGAGATTATTTACATTTATTAGTCTTAAAGGCACAGCAACAAAAAACAGCCTGTTTAATTCCAAAGGGTAAAGAAAGGAGGAACTGGTCATAGAAGAACAAGGTGTGACTGTTTTGGTCATAACTGGACCTCGGGGCAGGTAAGAGGTTAAGATGCAAGGTACGTGTAAAACATGGGCCCTTTAATGAGGACACCTAGTGACGTTTTTAGAAGTATTGTAGAGGGTTTCTGTTGGCAGGAGCAAAACGAGCATTTTCACACACACACACACACACACACACACACACACACACACACATCCCCCCTCAGCGTTGCGCACTACAAGAACAGCCAACCGCGACTGCGCTCTGTGAATTCCGGGCAAAGCGCCACCACAGCCAGCCTCACCTTTCCGAATGAGGTCCTCGATGTCCTGGTCGAAGCCGAGGCGGTGGCACTTGCTCCACAGGCCCATGTTGGTGGAGTTGTACTGCCGGCTACACTCGTCCGCCGCGCTCATGGCGAACAGCTGGCGCCGGTTGCGCGCGAGCAGCAGCCTCTCCTCCCAGCGGTCGAGGCGCGCGCGGCTGCCGGCGGAGGCGCGCAGCGGCAGGCTGTTATTGGGGATGTAGATGAAGCCCGGGTCCTTGCGGCGGCTCGCGAAGCTGCGGCAGCGCTCGCGGTAGCGCCGCGCGTCCGTCTCGTACCAGTGGTCGGAGCACACGGCCACGGCCAGCATGCCCAGCGCGCACAGGGACAGCGAGAGGCCGGCGTAGAGCAGCAGCTTCCCGGCAGCCATCCTCCTCTTCCACCGCCTCCTCCTCCTCCTCTTCCTCCTCACACACACACGCGCGCGCGCAAACACACAAATGCACGCGCGCAGCTCGGACGGGGCTCCTCGGGCGTGCACGCGCGTCCGCGCGCTCAGCTTACATCACCTCGCGAGAGCATCGCCCGGGGGTGGGGGGCTGGGATGGGGAGGAAGAGGAGGAGGGGGGTTAAAAGAACGCTGACAGCGGGGGTAGGGATGGGGGGTAGGGAGTCAGGGGTAAATGGCCGTGGAAAAAAAGATGCCTATAGTATCCCGGCTCTAACGTGCATCCGTAGCTCTGTCCGCTGGAGTTATCGTGAATGAAACGAGACACGCAGGCGTCCTCGGTTCAAACCTTTGGGAGGAAAGAGGGGAAAAAAAAAACAAAAGACACGTTACGATCTGAACCCTCACACGAGAACTGTATTGGCTGCTACACCTGAGTGAATACAAATGATGCAGCAGTCGCAGTTTAAGCCTGCAAATAAAGAAGATCGTAATGGCGCTTTGGCCGTGACGTCCAAAAGCAAATACAACAACAAAACGGGCTCAGAGCGCATTAATGGGATGATGCTAGGCTCTGTATAAGCAGCCACCCCACCCCTTCATCCCTTCAGCCTTTCGGATTTCCATGACCCACACTGGCTCATAACATGACTATATTTACTATAGCAGCTTTATTGTGTCTGCTCTGATCATGTAGACTAATACAAATAGAACTGGCAGGATTATTAACAGTGTGTAAAGACCCACATCAATGAAGTAAAAGGTTTGTCAGAGCCTTGATGGTGAAGGAATGCCTCAGCTTTAACACAGCTTTTCCCCCTAAACGCCTTTTTAACACTCAAACGCCCCAGTGATCCAGTTCGTACTCACCGTGCAGTAATAGTGCTGATCTTCGGGCTCTGTTAGCCCAGACTCAGGCCGTTTTCCTGCTGTTCTCCCGGTCCTGAGCGAGTGCTGCTGCTGCTGCTGCTGTGGTGGCCATAGCGTAGAGCTGGGGCGAAATCTAAGACAGGCTCAGCGCGCAAAGCTGAATTACAGCTACAGTCACCAGCGCCACACACAACTAAAACTAGATGCTCGCCCCAAGCAGCCTGTGTGAGAAATTGGGGAAAAAACAGCCTTACATCAGGAGGTGGATGCTGCAGAGCCCGCGGCCAGGCTCAAATATGGCCTCAACATTTCTCTCTGCATGTTTCAGGCTCCAGAAAATACAGCGGTGATGTCATGCTGTCAATGGGAGACGTTCATTGTTTATTAAAGCACCTTCTTAAAGGGCCAGTGCTGTTTTTTTTTTCTTTTTCTTTTTTTTGTGCTGGTGGTGTGTAGAGGTGCACTGATATATGAAGCAAGTCAACCAAATTTGTTCAAACTGTTATATCAGAAAATAATAAAATTAATGAATAAATACATAAATAAATATTCAGATCTTAGATATTTACAAGGATTATGTTGGTTTATTTAAACACAGTGTATCGATTAAGATAGTTACTAAGCTAAATAGATACAAAATCATCATTTCTAGGGTACTTTCAATTGGGAGGTGTTTGTCCCAAACTCTAACCCTTACATGTAAAAAAAATAATAGCATATGTCGTTTTTTAAAAGATTTTTTGTTTTCCTTTAAAGTGAAGCTGAAATATTTAGATTTATCATGAGTTTTATTTTTAAATGAAAAAAAAAATGCTGTCCCACCTTTTCATGTCACTACCATAAGGCAGAGTTTTAGTATGTGGGCGGAGGCTTACTTTAGCCACGCCCCTGCATTTTAGAGCAGGAACTGAGACTGCATCCCTGTCCCTCATGGCTACATGGCGTGCAGTAAGATCCCTTTGTTTTCAAGAAAATGTGTCCGAAAGTCTGAAAATCAGTGTGTAACATTAAGAAATGTCACTAATGAGACATACATTTTCAAGTTAAATATTATGCAAATTAAATATTATGCCTTTATGTGTGCACAGCTGCTCAAAGCTGTGTTTGCTAGTCAAGTACCAACTAGCTTTGTAACTAAAATTGTCATTACAACTGAAACGTTTGTGGATTTTTGGATATACATTGACATGTTTAACATAATGCATAGAAAATTTTCACATATAAAATGGTTGCTAATTGTAATGAGATATTGTCGTTTAGGAAATATATTTTGGGTAAAAATACCAGACATTTTCAGTAAAAAAACATTTTCACTAAACATGTGGACAGCCAAAAATACCTCTAGTTGCAGAAACACCTAAAAACAAAAGCAGCTTGTCACCGTAATCAAGACGCCGTTCTCTTTCCTGGTCATGTATCAGCTTCTGTTCACACATGAGTTCTCCTGGTAATCTCAAAGGAACTGCACTTGGCCTTGTGCAAGTAAACTGCCGCATCAGTGTTACTGGGGTTTCAAATCCATACATGCTTAACCTCTTACCATTCAATTACTCTTATATTAACACTTTTAAGGGCATGAAAAAAGGTGTTGAATTTACATGATTCAAATGTGTTACATTAAGTACTCACACATAGTAATCTGATCAATCTGTAACATGTTTTATTCATGTTGACCCAATACGCACAATTGAACTATGTAAATGTAAAGCAACCTTTAAGAAGCAGCAAACGATAGAACATCAAAAGAAACTAGGGGTATATCAGTGATACAGTTTTAAATTTTAATACACTGTTTTGAATACTGATATGTGTTCAATACTGTATTGAAACTGTTACATTTGTAGTGATGGGGTGGAGACTTTCTTTCCTTCTTTATGGGTTTATTTACTCGTTTATTTAGATTATTCTTCTCTGGTCATGTCTCCCATCAAAAATTGTAGCTTCATGCTTGGATAGCTTTCTTCAAACAGCTGGTGTCTCTATTATAACATATGGTTAATGTGTAGTGATATGATATGACTACACCAATCCTGTTGCCTAGAATCAGCCTGTTATACAGAACTGTTGTACTGTCCACAGCCTGCAGTGAGGAGTGAGTCGCTGAATAATTGATGAAACTAGCAGCTGTCTGTCAGACAGTACTGAAATGGTGAGTCACAGAAGCTGTGGGGTGGGGCAGGTTCAGGTATTATAGGACATCAGGTCATATGGGGCGAGATGTCAGCCACTATAGGACAATGTTGGGTACACTATACACCGTATTATGCTTCAAATGTACATTATTCAAATGTGTCAGTGTGTTGTGCATGAATAAATTATGTTACATCAACATCAACAATCATTTTGTATTTCAGTTCAATTCTTTTGGAAATAATTGTGTTGATGTTGCACATTTTATTCATGTGCAACCTATTGATGCATTTGAAACATGTAAATTTAGGTGCGTAATAGGACACTGTGTTATGTTCATATCTCAATTCCAAATCAACAGGACAGTATGTGAAATGCAAATAAAAAGGAAGGAGTGATTTGTAAATCTACTTTAAATTGTATTTAAACAGAACAATACAAAGACTAGATATTTAAAGTTTCATTATATCAACTTCAGATCAGTGAACACAATATATCGTGTACTCTGCCTGGGAGAGGATTACCCTTGGAGCCAGGCCTGGGGGTAGTGTTCCTCGGGTACGGTTCAGCATGGGGGGACCAGTGCAGTGCCTTAGAGGCAGTGGGAGATTGCAGGGAGGTTCTTGGCAGCATGGGCCCTGGCAGCGGAAACTGGCTCTTGGCACATGGAACGTAACCCCACTGGGTGGGAGGAGCCAGAGCTTGAGCCAGAGGTTGAGAGGTACCAACAAGATATAGTTGGGCTCACCTCCATTCACAGTGTTGGCTCTGGAACTAAACTTCTTGATAGGGTTGGTCCCTCTCCTACTCAGTAGTTGCACAGGGTGAGAGGTGCTGGGCGGGTGTGAGGATGCTCTCAAGTCCCCGGGTGGCTGCTGTGCAATTGGAGTTTGGCCCAGTGAACGAGAAGGTTGTCTTAATGCTAATTAAAATCACAGGGAGGAAAATTCTGACTGTTGTTTGTGCATACGTACCTACACCAGTTGGGAGTATTCTTCCTTATTGGAGCAAGTGGGTGGGGTTCTGGAAAGGGCCCCACCTACAGATTCCATAGTCTTGCTGGGAGATTTCAATGCTCACGTTGGTAATGACTGGGAAACCTGGAGGGGGGTGATTGGGAAGAACAGCCTGACCGATCTAAACCCAAAGGGTGAATTGTTATTGGACTTCTGTGCTACCCATGGACTGTTTATAACAAACACCAAGTTCACATCAAGTGTACTTGATACCAGAGGTCCTTGGGTCAAAGGTCAATGATCAACTTTGTTGTCATTTCAGCTGATTTAGGACCATATGTTCTGGACACTCAGGTGAAGGGAGGTACTCAGCTGTCAACCGATCACCATCTGGTGGTAAGTTGGATCAGATGACAGGGAAGACTGCGAGTCAGACCTGGCAAGCCCAAGCAAACAGTGAGGGTGTACTGGGAACCACTGGCAGAGGCCCCTATTTAGAATGATTTTAATTTCCACCTCCAGAAGAACTTTTCTCATGCACCAGAGGAGGCAGGGGACACAAAGTTTGAATGGACCCTCTTCAAAACCTCCATTGTGAAAGCGGCCAGGCGTAGCTGTGACCAAAGCTTGGTGGTGCTTGCCAGGGCGGGAACCCCGGTGGCCACCAGTGGTGAGGGAGGCCGTCAAGCTGAAGAAGGAGGCCTTTGGGGACTGGTTGGCCCGGAGGATTACGACTCAGCAGACAGGTCCCGACAGGCAAAAATGCAGCAGCGGCGGTGGTGGCAGAAGCAAAATTCAGAACATAGGAGGACATTTGGAGAGGCCAGAGAAAAAGACTTTTGATTGGCTTCAGGGAAGTTCTGGACAACCGTACGGTGTGGTTTCACTCAAGCTGTACTCAGCAAGGGTGGAGAAACTCTGGCTTTAAATATGGATATTGTTGGGTAGAAGGAACACTTTGAGTAACCCCTAAACCTGAGAGACATGCCTCCCTCCTGGGAGTCAGGGCCAGAGGCTTCTGGGGTGTCAGACTT